AAAATCACAGGGAGTCTAGAAAACAGTTACTAGAACCCATAATTAAATTTAGCAAGGTCATAGGATACAGGGTTCATATAGAAGAATCTGCTAAAAGTAAACATTAAAGATATATCCTTATATCCTAACAGCAAACTTGGAAAATGAAATTTTAAAAGCCATTCCATTTACAATAGCACCAAAAAATTATGAATAAGTCTAACAAAAGATCTTTATATTGGAAACTGCAAAACACAGTTAAAAGAAAGTAAAAAATATCTAAATAAAAGAGAGATATACAACCTTCATGGATCAGAGGATTCAATATTGTTAACATAACAATTCTCCCCAAACTGTGGTATTGGTGAAAGGATAGACATATAGATCAATGAAACTGAATACAAAGTAAGAAACAGAGTGTGCACACACACACATGTGTTTGGGGGGGGGGGGGCAGGAGGGAGTGTTTTGACAAAACTGCCAAGTTAATTTAATGGAGAAAGGGAGAAAGAGTAGTCTTTCCAATAAGTAGTACTGTAACAACTGGATATTAGGTATCCATATATTTTTTTAAAAAGCAGGGGGACTATCAATCCTAAAGTTACACCATATGCCAAAGTTAATTCAAAATGGATCATAGTCCTACTTGTAAAACCTAAAACCATAAAACTTATAGAAAAGAGTAGCATAGAAAATATTTATGTCCTTGGGTTAAGCAGAGATATTTCAGAAAGACATAAAGAGTATGAATCTAAGGAAAAAAATAGTCATGCCAAGGTGCCAGGAGTTTTAACCATCATTGCTTTTGTACCATCAACAAAAATGTAAACACACTGAAAAAGGCAAATAAATAAAACCCTAAATGATTATGAAAATAATTTTGACCCATGGAACCCCCAGAAAACTCTCAGGTACCCCCTCCAGGAGTTCTCAGACCCCACTTTGAGAATAGCTATTTTGCAATAATTAAAAAGAATGAACTCTGATGTATGCAACAATGGATGCATCATACAGACATAATGCTGAACAAAAGAAGCCTGGAACAAAGGAGAACATGCCATATAATTACAATTACACAACTTCCAAGAACAGGCTACAGTACTCTATAGTGTATGAAGTCAGAATAATGGTTAACTCTGGAGTCAAGGAAGAAGGAGATTAACTGAGAAAGGTCATGATGGGAGGGCATCACCTATATCTTGATTTAGGTGGTGGTCTGTGTATGTTACTGTATGGATGTTATACCTCAATAAAAATACAAAAAGAAGTAATATAAACAAGTCCTTCTTTAACAGTTTTATGTCTTTCTTTTTCCCCTTGAACTTATATTTCAATTCCACTTCCTTACAGAATATTATCCTAATGAAATAGATTTCTATATTTTAAAGTCTTTTATTAAACATCCTCTAACATTTCTATGCAATATTCCTAGGCATATTCTCAAGTAGGTCAATTTTAAGGAAGAATTCAAAGTGCAGCTAAGAATCCGGAAATTCTAGTTTGAAGATAATGGATGATAACATTCATTTGGCATTTCATACCTTAATTATTAAGTATATTTTTATCTGTGTATGCCTTGTTTCACTAGAAGGTTAGTTCCTTAAAGGCAGGGATGAATCTCGAGTCTTCCATAGCAAAGGACCTGGCATGCAGTAGTTGATGGCTCATTGATTTATTTTCTCATTCATTCAGGCAACAAAGATTTCTTTAGCATTTATGTGTAGGGTACTTGCTAGGCCCTAGACGTATAATAATGGGTAGATGCAGGGCTCAATAAATTCCTGTTGGTAACTGATTGATAATTATCAGCTACATTTTAGAAAGCGTGTAATTCTCTTTTCTTCTGAACTCAAGTGCAGGTGCACTACAGGTCTGATTAACCCTGTCATAAAAATGGGGACACCAAGACACAGAAATTAATTAACTGCCTCACTTAGGGTCATGCACTTTGTCATGGCTTGAGTAAGGATTAAAACCATTACAGGTTTTTTCCTGGACTGAGGTGCTATGGGAATTCATTCAGATTGACTGGAGTTCATATTTCATTTAAATGCTCTCATTTCACTTGTGCTATATCCACCTTCCCTAACTCATATTTCAGGACCTGCAGTCTGAATCAGTTTACTTCCACTTCAGACACTGTCAAGATAAATTAGACACTGAGGGTCCATGGCATCCTCTGAAGCAGAAGTGCTATTAGTAGAAAATATATAAGCAGGTTTATTTTCAATATAGTGTAGCACTTTTTTGGAGAATGTATTTTCTACTATAAATGAAGTAGGAATAACAAACCTGAATGAATTTTGAAAACATTTAAAATTTGATTTTTACTATACATCCTCAGGCAAGCATAGCCAAAGGAAGGTAAGCAACAGTAAATATTTTTATCTCTGACATTGCATCTCCAAACCATTCTGCTGAATAAGATCTGGCAGGTCCCTGACTGTGAGCAGAGATAGGGTAACAACTCTGATGATACATAAACTTGTATCAGATACAGCCTCCATTTTTGCTGTAATCATCCATCTATAGCCTAGCCTGTTCAGCTGACGAGGCACGTTATTAATAAAGCCTACTGTACCATAAGTGCCTTGCCCTATGTGGTATTTATATTGTTGGAAACTGTAATTGTCTGAAACAATGGCCTCTGTGAAAAGATGTGATATGTTTTGAGCTGTGTAAAGATCAAAATAATTTAGACTAATAATGGTAGCTGTTTGTGAAGGATTAAAACATGGGTTATGCTGCAGAGTTAATGACTCGGCCTTGCTTTCAACGTTTTACTTCCATTCTGGTCCCTGTGAGATAACCTGGAATGTCATGCCAAGTTTCCCCACCAGAATGTAAACTCATTGAAGGCAAGGAACTCTGACTTATTCACCAGCATCTTCCCAGCACATAACACAATACTTGGAAAAGAGTCAACACTGAATATTTGTTAAATGAAATAAATGAATGAATATGAGTATAGGGAAGAAATGGAACACGTTTCAGGTTCAAGCCATTATCAGAGTTCCTGCAGGTTGTGACTTGGAATAGTAGAGTGGGACCCAATCTCCAGGAGATCAGTACTAATGGGGAGGGAGAAGGTGAAATGGAAGCAGTCTGAAACCGAGTAGCTGAGGATACCACGTGGCACTCACAGATTGCTGAGCCAGACATAAAAGTTCTAGGTAAAGAACCCTGCTGGGAAAGAAGAAGCTTGCCCTAGTTCCTCACCTCTCCACCCTCACCTGATAGGATTTAGATGAGTTCTTGCATCTTTCAACCTGGATTCTCCTGAGACAACAAAAGGGGCTTCAGATCTCCTCTAATTCTCACTAATGGAGTGCTAGGTAGAACAGCCTGCAAGTGATGGCTTGTGGCTTAGGGACCACTGTGAGTGGCTAGGATAAGAGCAAAGTCTTAGATAGACAGATAGACGGAGGGCCAAGTCTTGAAATGGAGCCAGATTACCTCTCCATTGAACTAGTAAAGACAAAATATGAAGGAAGATTTAAAAATTTAGAAGTAATGAAGGAGAGCAGATACAAAAACATTTTGAAGTAGAGAAAAAGAAAAATGAAGGAAACTTTTGAGACCTAAGCCGCAACCACTTTTCCTAATTTCTTTCCTTGCAAAATCTGATATTGTTTGGATTACACCCTCCTGCATGCTCATGGAAGGTAATTTCCCTTCCCAGTATGCAGGGTAGATTATGTTTGGCCTCACAGCATGCGAGGTAGATTATGTTTGGCATCGTTCTTTCAACAAGTAATTAGTTTAGGATGTGTGTTTGACACAAGTCTGCCCAATGGGACTCAGTTCTACTAGAGGCCTCTAGGAAAGGTTAACCTTCCTTTATTATGAAAGAGACAGAGACAGAAAGAAAGAAGTGGGAGACAATATCCCTCTTTGTTGGATTCCCTTGACTGCATTTGATGCCAAGAAATGCTGAAGATATGATGCTGCCTTGAAGGGAGATAGCAGGAGAAATTACCATTGTCTGAGGATGCCAGAGTAGAAAGAAGAAATCTAGTTGGGGCCTCAGCGACATACTTGAGTTACTCAATTAACCAGTAAAGGAACCACCTTCCTCCAAACTTCTTATTTGATGGGATAATAAATTCCTTATTTTTCAAAAGCTACCTCCAGTCTGGTTTTCTGTTGCTTGCACTTACATTGATAGCTTGACTTTTCTAATAAAGGTGAGAGCATGGGTTATGAACGTGAAATGCGGGACTTGAAAAGTTTGAAACAGATATTTCAGCTTTTACCCACAGCCTCCATCTTCTTATCCCTTCCCCACTACTACTGGACTCAGACAAGGGCCAGGAGACACAGGACTGGATGTAAAGGGACCTCTCCCTTCTCAAGACTTAGTCTTTGTTTCCGGCTCAAGCTCAGTGTGTTTGACTCTTCCTGAGGACATGTTCTGTCTCAGGAAGCTCCTCATTCACTCCAGTAAACAAGCTTCTGGCGCCCTGCCCCATCAGTTCCTCAGACATACCCAGGTGTGTCTGAACCCCAAGCCACAGCTTAGGCTCAAGTGGGGAGCAACAAGCACAGCACCCTTCTGTACCAATATCTAGCAAGGCTTTGTGGCCCTTGAGCAGAAACAGAATTAAAATGGTCAAGACTTAATGATGGGAACTGGCACAGGTATGGGATAAGGTCTGAATGCAGGAGTTAGCATTGACCCTTGAACAATACAGGTTTGAACTGCAAGGCACCACTTAATACGAGGATTTTTTTCAATAAACATACAGAACTCTTATGAAGACCACACAGCACCAAGCTTAGAACTCCGCATCTACAGTTAGTGTCAATACATGTATATTAAGTTTAATTTAATGAGCAGGTTGTGGGTTGAAGGTCCAACGGTTTCCTTTTACAGACTCTTCTGTTCAGAGAGTGTCTTTCAACTACCACCACCTTCCCCCACAAAACAAAACCTTCAATGTTTTTACCTCAGTTATCTAAGTTTATTTTAATAATATACTTTGAAATTGGAAGTGGTAGAATAGTTTTATTTAACTTACCAGGAAGAAATCGAAGACACAAAGAGATGATGTGACTTGGCCACGGTCCCAGAGGGCATGCGTGGCAGAGCTAGGATGGTCTCTAAATCCCTGGGGGCTCTCAAGCCATTGTTCTTATGTCCCTGTATGTAATTGTTTTGACAGCAATTTCCCTGGTTCTCTCACTAGCCTGCTAATCACGCACGTCAATCACATGCAGGAACGCCATGGGCCTAGGGTCAGCCACAGTCTCAGGAGGACGTAATTCAAAAGATAAAACAAGGCACCGCAGAGCACTTTCTCCTTCCAGCATGTATGTCAGTTGTGGCCTCATGAGTCTGACAATGTGTGCAGGAGAGGATGTTGTTTTCTTTCCCCCCAGAGGGAGAAAGGCTATATCAAGTGTTCTGACCACAGCTGAAAACCAAGTGAGAAATCCAGCAGTTTAAAGTCCTCTGACTAGAGAACACTCAATGATTATGGGAAGAGTTCTCCACCCAATCTCTAAAGAATCAGGAGGGCTGTCCTCTTTCTTCCTCCTCAACGACAGTCTCCGTAGTTTCACTCCAGTCTTTTAAGCGACCCTGAGGGTGGTGAGGCTTAATGTGAACCTTGACACAGATGGTTCACACTAATTACTCTTCTCCTGCAGACCACTCGGCCGTCCTTCCTCATTTCACTTTCACTTTGGCGAGCAGCACCGAGGGGCCCAGAAGCCACGGTCCAGGCCCAGTCCTGGGAAAAGGCCCCGAGGAGCCGCGCGCGTGGAGCCGGGAGGGCGGGGCAGGAAGGGGAGCGTGCGCGGGGTTGAGGCTGTTCGTGTGAGGCGTGGATCCTGGAATGCGCGTGTACGCGGCCCGCGAGCACCGCCCGCGCAGCGCCGATTGGCCGGGGGCGCGCGGCGGGGGAAACCCTTGGCTAATCTCCTGCCACTCAGCCGGGTCGACTTCGAATCCGGACCTCAGCGACCGCGCGGAAGGACAAATAGTCCCGGCGGCGGTGCCGCGTGCCCCTCCAAGGCTGTGCTTACCCCGCCCGGGGCTGCGGCGGCCCAGAGGCCCGGGCGGCGGGGGAGGGGCGTCCTCCGCGGCTCCTCGACCCCCGCCCCCTCCTCGCGACCAGACGGGTGGATTGCGCTCCCTTGGGAAACGTAATTGGATTCCGGGCTCCCTCCAGTCGGGATCAGCGGAAATCGGAGGCTGAGCCTGCAGTGGGAGGGGCGGGTGGGGAGAAACCGCCGGGGAGGGAAACTTGGTGAAAACACCACTATGCCTTGAAGTGTCGGCGTGCTGGTTTCTGTGCAGGCCGCGCTAGAAGGTTGGGTGGTAACGAAGGATCAGTGAAGATTGCCCCCGGTTCCCTTTTCCGCCTGGCATGTGACTCCTGCCCTCTCCACGTTGTTATTCTGAAATTCACCTGGATGCCGATCCCCGGGAAGAAAAATATTTTGGAACCTTTGAGACTTTCAGACACCACCACTTCGTTTTTCACTCAGAGCTCTACTTGGAGCTGAGATGGTGAAAGAACCCTGTCCAGTCTGGGATTTGGAGATGTGTCTTCTTAACGGGGTAACTCAGGAGAAAATAACATTCTTACCAGAATCGTCCGGGAACGAAGAATATCTTAAGTCCTTGCTTTAGCAGTAGTAAACTTCCCTAATTCCCTTTCCCTTGCGGAGGTGGAGCAAAAGTGGGAGCTTTAAGCAGAGTTTTTGGCTGAAATCATAGGAATGTTCTAGGAATTTAAGAGACTAGCTCACCCCTCTTGTGATGTTCCCGCCCCCCGTCTCATTTACCGCATTTCACTCATTCATTCATCATCAAGCAAGCTTTCATTGGGGACTTTCTATGTTCCAGGCTCTGTTGTACTTACCAAGGATACATCAGTGAATAAAACAAGTACCTGCACTCATGGAATCTCATTGCAATTCCTCCAGTGGGGGAGACAGACTATACATTTACATAAACAAATAGATACACAATATAATGTCATGTAGAGGTAAGTGCTGTGGGGACAAAGCAGAGTAGAAGGACACACAAGGATGCAGGTGGAAGTAGTGCGTTTATATTTTAGCTAAGTTGATATAGAAGGGCCTCTCTGAGAAGTTATGTTTAAATAGTGGTCTGAATGAAATGAGGAAGAAAGCCAAGCAAAAGTTTGGGGGAGAACTTTCCAAGCAGAGACAAGAAGAAGTGCAAAGGTTTGGAGGCAGGAGAATGGTGAGTTTGAATTAGTAGGAAGCAAGGAGGCCAGTGTGAATGCTGTGCAAAGATCAGGAAGAACAGTTGTAGATGGTATTTCTGACTTCCTTCTGGCTCTGCTCCAATCACCTGTGAGAATAATCATTCTAAATCTTTACTTTTAGCACATCTCTTCATGCTTCAATAATTTCATGGCTATATTTTTCTAGTGCATTAAATTTACTCTTCTGACTGATTTTGTTCTGACCCCATCTAGTTCCCTCTTACCCTATAAACTACTCCTCAATCTACCCCTTCAATTTTAGTTGGATCTGCCCCTCAAGAATATTCATGTTCACTTATTCCTATGTATATTTATTTATGGATCTACCCTCACACAACTTAGTATTGATTCAGTAAGGGTTTGTGGTTGCAAGTGACATAAAATCCAACTCAAATTGGCTTAAGTAGGGAAGAGAATTTATTGGCTCACATAACTGAAAAGTTCAAGATTGAATAAAAAGTTCAAATTATGTTATCAAGATTGGAATTCTCCCTGATATGTTGGCTGTTTCCTCTGCTGTTGGCTTCATTCTCAGGCTCCACAAATCAGCAACCAGCAGCTCTAAGCCCACACTGTCCTCACTACCTGCAAAAATTGTGTCCATTCCTAAACCAATCACTGTTGCCCAGAGAAGATGCTCAGATTGGCCTGGTCTGAATCAGAAGCCCATCCCAGAAGTTGAGCCTTTTAATAACACATGAATGGCACAAAAAGATGATTCCACTTTAGAAAATGGGACTATGGTTATCAGAGGAAAGGTGGATATGTCCTGGGTAATGGAAACAGAGGACATACAACACATCCCTGTTCTTCTGTTGATGTCCCCAAATATTCCTCTTCTATATATGCCTTTAAAAGTGTTTATGGGGCTTCCCTGGTGGCGCAGTGGTTGAGAGTCCGCCTGCCGATGCAGGGGACACGGGTTCGTGCCCTGGTCTGGGAAGATCCACATGCCGCGGAGCGGCTGGGCCCGTGAGCCATGGCCGCTGAGTCTGCTCGTCCGTAGCCTGTGCTCTGCAACAGGAGAGGCCACAACAGTGAGAGGCCCGCGTACCACAAAAAAAAAAAAAAAAAAGTGTTTATGCCTACTCAATGCAACAGTATTTTTTCCCACCACAAATGTACTCACTTCCTCCCCAAAGAGAGATGATCCAAAGATCATCTAGTTACTGCTGATAACTTCAAGTCCAAGACAGCAGGATAAATCATGTTTCCCCAGCTTGTAGCAATATAGTTCTTCATGGTCTAGCAACCTAAGGCTACATGATAAAATTAGCTACAAAGTACTTAATTTATAATAGAAAAAGAAAAAACTTACATTTGGAAAAATGACTATGGCAAACACACAGTGGTCTCCAATTCGTTGGATATATCGTATCTTGCTGGACAGGAATAGCAAAGGCTTCCTACCATGAGAGAAGAAAAAGTTCTTTGATCAACCCATCTGGCTGCCATATGTTGTGCTCTTGGAGAATCTCTCATCCATTGTTCTTCCATGCCATATCTGTAATGGACAATGGGGAGGATAATCCTGCTAGGGACCATACCTCTTTAGCATTCTGCTTCTTAATACAGTGGGTGTTGAAAAATCACTTGCTATGGCAGAGATAACTAGCTTTCACCAGCAAACAGCTGGGATCCTCTTCTGTTATGTAGAGTTGTTGCTAGGAAGTAGCTATATAGTCAGGGACTATATTTCCCAGCATCCCTGTTAATCTTGGTAAAGTCATATGACTATCTCATTGAACTATGATTGGAAGTGGTGTGAATCACTTAACAATGTGGTTAAGAACCAGGTAAGCCTTCTCTGGTCTCTTTTTCCTCCTATGGCTGCACTGAAAGGACTCTAAGACCCTGGAGGATACATAAGAGAGCCATGAGATGGAAAGAGTCTGAGTAACTAAATGACCTTGTAGAAGACCACCTGCTGATCAGGAATACTGATATTGGACTCTACAAAAGTGAAAAATAAACATTCGTTGTATTAAGCTACTCAGGCTTCTCCATTACCTGTTACAGGGGTAATTAGCCTCGGTTTTGTTCTCTAGATTTAAGGTTTCTCTCACAATATAATTTCCTTTACTTCTCAGTAAGCTTGCAGTCTATTTGTATGTCTCCAGTTCCATGGTGGAAAAAACTCCAAAGCCAGAGGTCACGTAAAACTGCAGTCTTTGCATCTAGATTCTAATATGGCTATTTTTGTGTTTTGGTAATAGGCCTTGGTAATCTCCTCCCTTAATGGCCTCCATTTTGGTTTCTCCCTGAGAACAATTTGAAACAACAGCCACTGGTTTTGCAAGGGGGCTGGAGGGGGTGGGTGTGTGGGTGTAATGGCATAGTAGTGCTGGAGGAGCAAAGTGAGATAATTATCCTTCTAAGCAGGCAGGAATTGCTTGAGAGAGGACTGGGTGTGTGCAGACTTCTTCTAAGTGCCAGTCTTTTCCATGTCTTGCCTCCATTGGTATCAACATTCTTTGGGGGCTTTTCCACCCTTAATGGCTCCGGATTATTGAAGTTTCTGTCATATTCGATTGCGGTCTATAAGCAAAAATGGTCATTTGTAACAAAGCAGTATTTTTTTTCTCTCTGCCTTAGATAAATAAGGCTCAATCCTAAACCTGAGTCTTTCTCACAGGACTTAACTAAAAGCCAACATGTAATACTTGATGTACTCTAGTATCTGTACTCTAGTATTTGGCCCTTTCACATTTCATACTTGATAGGCACATTTCTGAATCCTAGTATACAACAGGTGCCAGTTTAACCTACTACTTTGCTATTGAATTCCCAGCCCAGTATAGATGGAGCCTCCTCTGAATCAACTGATTCAACAGTTTAAGGTCTTTCTGTTACTAGTCCCCACTCCCAGTACCAATTTATGAATTGTTAGACCTATTTTAGTTGCAGGTGACAAAATAAAAAACACAACTTAAACTGACTTATGCAAAAAAAGAATATTTTGGCTATTGGCTCATATAACTAAAGAAGGAGTGATATATTTAGCTTAAGGCATAGCTTGATCCAAGGGCTTAAGCAATGTCATTAGAATTCTATTCTGCTTCATCTCCTGGCTCTGTGTTCTGTGTTGGCTTCTTTCTCAGGCTCCATATGGTGGCTCCTGGCAGCTCCAGTTCACATAATCCTCACTGTTAGCAATCTCAGTGGAAGAGTGCAGGCCTCTTTCCCAGAAGTGTCAGCAATAATCTCCTTATATTTTATTGGCTTTGATTAGGACATGTGGCCAGAGGAATGATTACTCATGTTGTTGAGAGTGGAGTCCACTCCACCTAGAAGACATTGACTGAGAGCGATAGAAGAGGAAAATCAGGGTACGGTTATCAGAAGAATGAGTTGATGCCGAGTGGCAAAAAACCAAATGTCTCTCAGATACCAATGTGTAGTGTTTCCTAATTGCTTCACATGTGTTGGTTTTATCTCCTTCACTGGACTGTGTCTCTGGAGCAGGATCATGTATTATATGTCTTAACAGTGCCAGCCCAGCCAGGCAGTCCTTAGATACTGGCTGATTGATTGCCTCTTCTTATAACACTAAAGATGGCACACTCAAAAGGGTAAAAAGAG